GCCATCGAGTTTCGAAAATCTGTGTCGTAAGCGCAAATTACCTATTACTCGACCTATAATGTAAGCTTGTGTGGTGGAAGTGTTGGCTTCTCATTTCGCCATTCCCGCCACTCAAAAGAATTCTGATAAACACAGCTGTGAAGGAAGAGAAATGGGAATCCTCCAACGTTTATTAAAATCCGCAGATACATACAAGCGTGTACAGCATAAGTATACAGCAAGGTCGGACAGGCAGCGGTTGTCTCAAAAGGTCGTGCGTATTTTCAACTTCTTTTTGAGCCCAACATATTTCAAGCATGAACACTACCTATCATCAATGCATGCACCATCACTATCACTACTTGTTGGCGATAAACATCCGGATAGTGACCACTCAACTTCCATAAGCACGGCGGTTACAAGCTGAACGGTCGGAGTTGGGGAATGGAATTTTTCTCCACGAGATCATTGCTGAGCAAGAGAGCGTATCTTTTTCAAAGGAAGCTGACCACCGCTGTACGGTGACTATGGTATTATAGAACTCTTCAGCTAAGCTTCAATATCTTGAGTCTCGTCATTTTCGAAACGTTCAGTTTCGGTTGTCGTGGAGCGGATATAGGTTTTCGATTTTTGAGAAAAGTGCTGAGCATTTCCGTGAGCCTCTGCCGTTAGTCACTCAAGAGTTAAATGACTTCATAGCTGTGACGAGGGAGAGGCTCCCTATGGTAAACTCGAGAGCGGTTGAACCAAGGAGGACCATGATCTCGTGGTGAATTTGTCCTTTTTGCCTCTTCTGCTCTATCCAGCCACCTGGGCTTCTGCGTGTAGTTGTCACAAAACCCGCCCTTCTCAATTGCTGCAGCAGCTTTGTTCAACCACTACGTACGGGTGAAGTAGGAAGCACTTATATGTAGAATGGAAGCGTGTCGCTTTCCTGTTATTTGTGGTCAATTCATAAAGGATCTTTGGCAAGGCTTCAACCCTTTACGCAGGAGCGAGAACCTTCACGAACTGTATAATACATCTGAAACGCCAAGGAGTGGTGACCACACAGCCGTGGGTTAGCCCTTGAAAATTGGCCTAAACGGGAACATGGAGCCTGTCCAAATCTGACGCCGATGACCTTCCTGAACTAGGGTTCTTCTCAAAGTTGTCGTCTCCTGACTAAAGGACATCAGTTCATTATAATACTGCATGGCTAGCATGGAAAAGAGATGTATGACAAAGCAAATGCTTTCCAGCTTCGACCAATTTGCGGCTTTATAGAAGTTATTGAAAACATGGTTCTTTACTTTTCTTACTTCGATCTTGAAGGAGGCGATTGGGATGGGCATTATAGGACTATAAGTTACTACACGTTGTGCCCTCTCCACAGCCTGGGTGTCCCCCAAGAGGCCCATCGCGCGGCGAAAGAAGAGATCAGATCGGCAAAGGACGAGTCGTAGAGCGCGCTGTGCGATATGGGACGCAGAATGGTACACACTACATGACCTAACGTCTAAGCGCTACAGTATGCGCTGCAACTCGTCCTTTGCCGTGTCTGCGTCTCTTCCTTAGCCGCACATTGGGCCTATTGGGGGACTCCCCACGGCTTACCTAAGCTTGTAGTATGTCATCCAAAGAATCCGCGAACTCCTAAGACAACCTACTATGATGTTCCTAGGTGTCTGAAAAACGAATCGTCGTCAGTGAAGGGGATGCTTCATGATCCAGTCCCGAGACCAAAGTTCATTTCGGACTGCGATTGTTAGGGACTGACATTTGATGAATTTTTGTGATGAATGTGAACACTTCAAAGAGATTAGCGTACATTGAGCGACAGATCATTCCCTTTGCGAAATCAGTGAGTGCCTCTTTGCAATTCCTTTTTTTTTGCTGGCAAAGTAGGTATTAGCGAGAAAATCCGATAAAGTGGTGTTTCGGAACTTCCATGGTGTTGCAATATGAATGTCCTCTTTAGATAAACATAACACTGCTTATATCTATAACAACTAAGCAGTTGCACACGAAAGATGC